TCTGTCCTCGGAGTCGGATCAGTCGTCTTTCTCTGGTGGGATTGCTGTTTTGGTAATTTGACTGATTGCATCCATCCCATGCCACACAGTCATGCAACCGATTTTGCAGAGTTCAAGTTCTCCTGTTGACCTCCCCAGCATAGCTGAACCGGGCACGGTCTTGTTGTCCTCGTGTTGTCCTCGTCTCTCAATCATAGTTCGAAATTCCCGACCAGCTCTCTCCACTTTTTCTCAACTGTCGGCCAGGACATTTCTGGGGGCTCTTTGCATTTGACCTGTTACTTAATGGTGCTGACTTGTCTTTGACCGATAGAAGTGTGCAAAAAAATTATGGCACAAATTTAGCGTTCGTGATATCAATCCTCAATTTGCCAGCAGTTGTAGGCTTTTTTTTTTTTTTTTTGTGTGTGTGTGTTTCAGCGGTTGCCCTACTTGTTCTACAGGAGTCATCGTCTTTTGCGATTCAACGAGTTCTTCGAAGAATTCTCCCAGTCCCTGTTTGGACGCGCACTAGCAGTGTGATGTGTGAAATCAACTTGAATGCATTTTTCGCTTTTCCTTACTTCACTGCCAGCTGAGGAGACTCCCTTGCCCCCCCCCCCAAGCCCTCCCTCCGCCCCCCAAAAAAACTCCCCCCTCCCAACTTCCACATGCATAGCCAGGAAAAATGGAAAGCTCCCTGACATGTGGCAGGCCTCTGGGTTCTTGCCGAACTTTTCGAAGCCTTCGGGACCTTCAGGCCCTTTCACGGTAGCGTCGGTGGGGCCCACACTTCTGGTTCACGTAAGGAAAATGACAACCCAAATCTCTAAATCGTAATGACGAACATAATATAATTATTTATAATATCATATCCTCTTTCTCTCTCATCTTTCTTTGTTCAGCATGCAAGTGTGCTGCTGTGGCAGATGGGAGTGAGGGCATCTCACGCTGAGCCGCCTCACACTAGTTTGCAACTTGGCACCAATGTTCGAATAAAGCGCTGCACGGCAAGCGTTGCACCTGAGAACTACTGAAACAGAAGGGAGAAGGGAGAAGGGAGAAGGGAGAAGGGAGATTTGTGTGAATTTGTGAAAGCAGAGAGGGAAGCTGTTGAAATACAGACCTGTGTTGGAATCTGAATGGAACTAGAGTTGAGTTACTAGATGAATGAAAAAAATGAAAAAATGAAAAAGTGAAAATTCAAAAAAAAAGTGAATTACCTACCGGGTAGGGTTGGTCAGTTCGACGGATAATATCTCGAGGACGTGAAAAAATACCTCAAAATTGACAAAAATGAAATATGCCAACTATACAGGAAAAGGTAAAGCCGATAATATCAGTGTGCCTTTGTGATGTCTGGTCTTCTTGTTCACTTGTTTCACGAGGTGCACTCTTTTTCTTTTTATTGATGGATTTAGATATTAAATAAACATGTTTTTTGGATATATAACTGCGTTTTTTTGAAAATTTAGTTTTTTTTTTTTTTGTCTCGTGATTCATACTTTTGAAGTCTTGAGTGACCTGAAGAGGTCGTTTGGCTTGTTGGATGACGGCCATGGTCTGGGATGAGTGGCAGTCTCGTGGATGATCACTCATCCCAAAAAATGGCCCTTAAGTTCCTTAACGGACAGGCCAAATGACCTCTTCAGGTAACTCAAGTACAAATTGCGAAATGGGAAAAAAATGTAATCAAAGAAGAATACCCAAGTGAGAATCAGTCTGAGGGGAAACGGGTTGCGAGGAGGGGGGGGGGGGGGGGGGGGGGGGGGGGGGGGGGGGGGGGGGGGGGGGGGGGGGGGGGGGGGAGGGGGGAGGGGGGAGGGGGGGGGATGGGGGAGGGAAGGGGTCGGTCTGTGCAGATAGATACACCATTGGAGTCCAAATCTCATACAAATGACCATCTGCATTATTAAACTATATTAATAATTTCATTTTCATTGTGACAATTGGCGTGGCTCCACTACTCGAACATTCGACATGCATCTGGACATTGGTTTGGACCAGAGACATTCTGACTGATCGAACGATTTGAACGTATTAGGACCAATGCATGTCCAGATGCATTTTGAATGCCGTGCAGTGGAGCGAGCCCCAATTTCTATGTATTGTAATTACTAGACGGGTCCCTCCCCCCCCCCTTGCGCCTCCTGCCCCTCTGGGAGCCCCCTGCTATGCGACTGAGTACCGTTTTGGTGTTTCCCGGCTAGCAGTGGGCCCCTCAGCGAGGAAGTGGTTTGAGGAGGGCAGCATGCCTAATAGTTCCCCCTTGTTGGCGGCGAGTACCACAAGGGTATGGTCTTCTCTCTTCTTCTCTCAAAAACCTATGCTTGCGGGTGATAAGCAACGGGACTGATGCCCCCCACAATAGATAGGACCTGTTTTTTTTTATTAAACGTAAAATTCGTCGTAAATCTAGGCTACCAGAGTGGCCCGGGTCCACTTGCCCGGCCGGGCAAAAAAAATAAAACAATAAAAAATAATTAAAAAAAAATTGTTTTCTTTTAATTAATTTTTAATTTTTAATTTTATTTTAAATTTTGTAAAGAATTTCGATGTGACCCTGAGGCAAAAGTTGTTCAGTTTATTTTTCTGCATAGCATAGTTTGTTTTCGGATTTTTTGGAGGGCTTTTTTTTTTTTTTTTTTTCGGGCTGGGACCTTCCCTGGTCCTTGCACGGCCGGGCCACCCGGGAAAATAGGGTGACCTGGGCGGCCCGGCTGGTAGCCTAGTCGTAAATCGAAAACAGTGGTCATTGTTGTCACAGCACTTTAGCCTAACGGACAATTCTTGTACCCGTTTGAGCTGTTCATGACATTCTATGATAGATACACCCACAACGGGTGCAAGTTGAAACATGCTGAAAGTAAACTGTGCTCGTAGCATTCAGAATCATGAAACCAATCAATTGGCTGCAAAAGTGCAAGGTCCTGAAAATTGTGTTGCTGCTGGAATGTATTGGAGTCTACCTGCCACGGGCTTGCTTGCACGGTCGCCCCGCAGTTGAGACGGATGGGCCCATGTCCCAGTTTTGACTTTCACCTTTTGTCCCAACGGACAAGTGTCGTATTAGCAGCTTTCGTTCCATGACATTCGAAGATGAAATTTCCAGTGACGGTCAGGATGAAGCAGCTTTCATTCCATGACATTCGAAGATGAAATTTCCAGTGACGGTCA